GCGGGGAGCATTATGGGCCGGGCCGGCTGTCCCCGCGCAGCGCCGCGGCCTTTTCCTCACGGCGCTGCGGTGCTCCCAGGAGGGGCGACGGCCCGCGGCGGGAAGGGAAAGCCCCGTCGCTGTGGAGCTTGTCCGGCCTCCCCTGCGTCTCCCTCCCCGAGGCTCACCCCGCAGTGCGTTCCTCTGCCGGGACCTTCCTGGCAAGGTGTGACTTCGTGGGTCTCCTCTCATCACAGGCCGTTTGAGAAATCCTCGAGCCTCTTCGTGATGGCATTCAGAATACCAGAGAGAGAATGCATCTTGCCGAGGAACAAATGGTGTTGCCCAGCACGGGCTTCATGTAGCAAACATGCTTTTTTGGGTGCGACGTAGCTGCACAGCACCCGATGGGGTGAAACCCGCCAGGGAAACTTGTGTACGAGTCTGCCTGTGAGCGTGTTTGCCAGTCAGGTAGCGTCACCGAGGGGTTCGTAGCGGCTCTTGGTTTTCTGTAAACACAGAACAGAGCTGAGCGTAAGAAGAGAAATATTTACAGGATTACAGCTTCTGCTGGGGATGCTGGCATGCCTGCCCAGTGCCTGGGAAAGGTTTTGCACCTGCAGGTTGAGCTTTTGTTAGGGATGCGTATCACCATGGTACTTGAGCTCCTGAGCTACAGGAAGTTTTTTTGTGCAGGGGTTCAGCACCCGTCAGAACAACGGCTGTTTTAGGAATGGAGCCTGCGTAGTGTACGCGAGACCCGATAGTAAATTGCAAGAGCTGGGATTTGCTCTAATGACGTTCACAAAAGCACTTTTTCACATCGGCGTTCCCTGGTTGGATGTGCACAGCTTGTAGCTGTGGGGACTTGTGGTTTTCCGGTGAAGAGACAATCCTTAGTGGTTGACCTCGATGCTGAATCGTGGACCACCGCAGTATAGTACACATGGAGGTATCTCGCATGGCCCTTCTCAGATGTACTGTCTCTTTCTACCTGGAAGTCTTGTCTGGACAGAACTTGGCCACTTTCCCAGGACTTTTACCAATGTAGAATTTTGATCTAAACTTCATTAATATAAATTTAAATATTTTTAATGTTACTGCTTAATATAAAAAACTATTTGCAGAGTAGTTTTAGTGAATTTAATACACTAAATCCCTAAGTTTAGTGGCAAGACCAAGATTAGACAGGTAGAATTTCTCCCTTGCACGCCTTGGTAACAACAGCTTTTAAAAAACTTCGGGTTAAAATTGTTGATAGGTGGTTTTTGGCTTCAAAAGTTATTATTTTACAGATAACTGACTTTATAGGTGGTATATGTATTTGTAGGAGGGATGGATTTTTTTTTCCCCCCTGGTTCTTTTAGGTATTAAAAACCCCAGAAAATATATACATACCATTTCTCACACTACCTATTTCTCAAAAACAAGCTATGAAGTAATCAGATGTGAATCAGAATATTATTCTGCAGAAATTTGTATGCAAGCATTATTTTCCTTATTGAAGGTGAAGCAAGAATCAGATTTCTTAAGTAGCACGTGCAAGATGCTTTTGTCAGCATATAAAGGACAGATGCGACTTTAATGTTGTTTTGGTGCTTATTTCTGTGAAGACTGCGTTCTAAGGAAGAAAATGTGTGATACAGTATGATCTAAAGCTTTTTGCAAAGGTAATGGTGAGGAAATGATTCAAGGATCCTAAAGCTGACTCTTAATATTGCGAGCATTTATACATGTTAGTGATGTTGTTGCAGTAGTTACCCCTAAATTGAGAAGTCAGTTTGGTAGTGCTCAGGTCCTCTTCTATTTCTGCAACTCTGAGCATGTGGGGGGACAAGTGTGAAATGCAAAACTCATTTTAGTTATATGGTGCCTTGAACCTCTGGAAAATGTGTACTCTGCCCTCAGGAAGCAAAGCAACTAAAGTCAGTTGAGAAGAACTGGTACTGGAAGAACTGATGTATTTTATGGGAATAAATTCAAATAGAGATTTCCAGATCTTGCTGTTTTTATTTAAAGGGCCATTTATGACTTCTACAAGTTGATAGTAAACCTCCTGTTATACTGAACCAGAGTTTAGTTTCACTCTGGGCTCTGAACAAGCAAAATTGTTGATAATGTGTTAGGAATGAATGGAAACGTTTTGTTCGTGGTTGGGTACAGAGAACAAATACGAGATTTCCTCACTTTGGTACTCTCTGTACATTCTCAGCAACACTAACCAAAACACGTGTAGACACATAAGCTGTGCCATCTCCTGCGCTGTGATTCTCTTTCAAATAAACTTTATGTCCTGGAGGCAATCTTTATGTTTTTCTCCTATGTATTATATACAGGCTGTCTTATTCTCCTTTTTTTGATGACGCTTTGCTCAGTGAGTTGTCGCACTGAAGTCAGTAGGAGCAGTAAAAGACTGATTAAGTATCAGTATTTTGTGTCCTCCACAAGCAAACCTTCAGACTGTGCTATGGGACCCTTTGTGCCCCAAGCACTGGAAATCTCAGGGAGGTGGGGGGACACACAAGTGTGCTAGCTGCTGCTGTTTGGATCAAAGCCCTTGTTTATAGTATAGATGGGACCAAAGCTTCAGTGAGCAAATTCCCTGTGAACAAGCAGCTTGCAAATCTCAGGGTTTTGTCGTCTGAATCCAGCTCTTGGACCTGCAGTTCACCTTGCAGCACAGAAATAGCCACTGAAAGCTGGAGGGAAAAAGGGTTAAAGAACCTTCCCTTTCACCTTACGCAAATATGCAAGAAATACTTGGACAGGAACAGTATGTCAGGAGTGCTGTTGGGAGGAGGGACAGCTGTTTGTTTTTTATCCTCCCCCAAAGTACAATCTATTTAAATATTTACATGGTCTCTTGCTAAAAGGCTTTCTTTTCTTTCCTATACTTTCCTGGTTTATTATTCTTATGAATGGGGTAGAGGGGGAGATTTGTAATTGGTAATCCTTCCACTTTGTTGAAAAAGTGTATCTATTTTATTTACTCAGAGTAATACAGTGGTGATGTTTTCTAACAGCTTTAAATGTTTTCACTGAGGCTTGTGCTGTGCTGTTTAATATTATTGCTTCTTCTTTTAATGTACTTTATATATTTTATAATCTTCATAGGTTACCTGAACATACAGTAGAAATAGGGAATTTCAGACAATACAACCTTGAAGAGAAAGCAGTGGAAGACTAATATTATATGTATATAATGTCAGAAGATTAATAATATAGATAATGAAACAGAGCACTTGCAAAAGCAGGAATTATATTCAGTATTTTATAAACAGTCTGAATGGCCACTAGGTCTTTCACTGATTAACACACACCTGTTCTAGCCTTGGTCACACCCTGTGCATCTGCGTGGACTCTCTTATTAGGTCACTGCACCTAAAATTGTGTAACTATTCATGGCATCTATTTGTAAGTGTTACTTTAAAGAATCAGTGATATTTAATGACATGGAACATCCTGGATTACAAAGCTCTAGAGCTCTTTTGGTTCCAGAGGAAAGACTTCAGCAAGTGGTTAGTATTATACCTCAGAAGTAATCTTTTTAAATCAATAGATCATAGGAGACACTACAGTTAAACATCGTCTGTCATCTTTGTTGGACTGAGGCCTTGATCATTAATCACCCTTCAAGATTAAAGGTATTTCACTTCAATGTAAAATGAGTTTTACAAGGAATGTGTTTTGCACATAATACAGAACTTCAAGACGCAATCTGAAAGTAATTTAGCGTGACAGAGAGTCTCTATTTAATTTGATAGTAGACAGTGAGTATTTCATGTTGTCTTTTCATAGTCTTTAATTTTTTCAGATGTGCAACTATGTTCAAGAGCTGCTTGTTTCTGAAGAGTAAGATGTATGTACCCTAGGTAGCCTTCCACTGCTTTCACTTGAAGTGACTGACAGAACTCTGACCGGCTTTGGCAAGGTCGGTACTTCACTCTCAAAAGCTTGCAGCCTGGTAATTGTTATTTTGCAAGTAATCCTTAGTCTTTTCTATAATTACCCATATAATCCCCTTGTCAAAGGCTCTGGCAAAAGTTCCAATTAAAAATTAAGCAGAAAATATATTTTAGTATATGCAGGCTCAGGTGCAGGAAAGCCTTTAAGTATGTGCCCAGTCCTAAGTGGCTATACACATGATGGCTTGATCTAAATCTCAAATACAGCTAGATTTCAGTTAGTAGCCAGAACGCTCTTCAGTTTGGATGAGACCCACAGTTTAATGTTGAAATGACTTTGGCAACTACAAATCCCAGGGAGCACTGCCGTTAGCATGTTTGTGCAACCGGATTGGCATCCAGCAGGGACCAATGGCAGGCAGAGAATCCAAGAAAATTCATGTGTGTCAGCTGCCAGTATTAAAAAGCGCTGGAGAGAGCTGTAGACCTGAGTGCAAACTGCCCGCTTCCCTGGGCTACTTTTAAACCCTTGTGTGAGCTTTGTATTGATATAATATTTTATACCCTCTGTGCCTCGGCTTGGAAAAGCCCACTGGACTAGTCCAGATGGATGCAATTCTGAACTGCAGACCAGATGACTGGGAAGATTACTACAACTTGCTAGGATGCGATGAACTATCTACGGTAAGAGCCTTCCCCACCTCCCCTCCAGGTTAATAACATTTTGAATGTTCTTGGCTCTCTGCAGGGGGGATTTGAAGTTGTTTATCTCTATAGGCAGGGCTGTTTGAAATGCGTTGTGAACCTTCTTTCTTGTCACTTTTATCTTCTAGGATCTCCCTTTGTAAAGCTCACTTTTCTGATCTGTATACTGACGTTAAGATCCTCGAATAAAGCTTATATTAAAAGTGTCTCATAAAACACGATTGTGTGATAGATACAGCTGAAATAATGGTTTATTCATTAGTTTGGTTCAATGTGTGATATGGTTATGAATCATGAACCAACTGCATAAATTTGACAACATCCAAATAATATTTTGGAATATATTTTGGGATGTAAAAGGTGAAGAAAGCTGTTTATATGCAACTAATACAATGAATGCTCAATAGCTGTAGGTCACTGATAATGCTATTGAGTTTCTCAGGTTTTATACCTTTTTTAAATTTTTCTGAAGACTGTATTCATTGGTTGGGAGGAAGAACAAAAATAATATCCCTTTTTCATTCATCATATTAATGATTTTAAATGCTAACTTTAATGACATTCAAATACTAGTTTTACTAATTTGTTTTGGTAGCAGGTAGAGACTTTATGATGAGATCTAGCTAAGCAATTGTTGAACCATTTGTAGCTAAAACATAGCTAGTTCTTCTTCCTGAAGGTGTCCATATAACAGTTTTTGGATAGTCTGATTTAGTGGTATGCTAATATTTTTTAGTCTAGTTGTTATATTAACTGGAATTGTGTTTCGATTTTGGAAAAGGAGTTTTGATTACTCTGCTGTAATGAAGGATGAATTATTCAGTGTGGATAAAGGCTTAGTAAATTTAATCAGATGCTCTCATTTGTCCTAGTGGCCAAATGCTGGGAAAATACCTCTGTCTCTTCTGTCACTGAAAGCATACTAGTATTACACCTTCGATCTTTTACAGACGGCAATGTAAGGCTTTTCCTGAGATAACTCCTAAAAGTCATCCCAGCAGAGGGCGGTGTTAAAGCTTCTGGGCAGGCTTGCTTCGCAGATGCTATGTCTCATTTTCTACCTCACACTAATTAAGAAAATTAAACCCTTAAGAGCTTAGCAGTTAATGAATAGTTCAAGCACATATGATAATGATTTCTCAAACTGAGAATGAAAATGAAATTAAAGAGATGGAATAAATGCTAATGGGTCCTGAATAATAATCTGTCAAGTATTATTTGTTGAGAGAAGCAGCAGATGTTACTAGATTATTTTTGACATGGGAGTAGGAACTGAGATCACAAGTTGATGGAGTACCATGATTGCCTTCCCTCAGGATAGTGCACACTACTTCTAACGTTTAACAGAAATTTGAAGCATTACAGGTGTTTTGCAATCTCATTACTTTGTATATGGAGTGAAGTATTTGTAGCAGCCCAAGCTTCTGTAGGCATATACAGCACATTCCCAGCTGCAGTACTTTCATCTAAGCTGCTGAATATTCTGGTCTTGATGTGACCTGGTTAAAATTAAGCAGAAATAGTCTCAATTTCTACAGATTTTTCCTTGTATTCAAGTAAACACCCAGGTTGATTCTTGGCTTCTTGTAGAATTGAGCTAATGGACACCTAGTTTGTTTTCAGACTTGAGAAGAAAGGAGGAGATTTAATCTACATACTTCTTCCAAGAACAGTGTTATTCATATACAATATGATATACAGTGGGTATTGGATACCTGTCTTGGTAAAACATCTCACTGAATACTTTATATAAATTTCATATATTTTGTATAAATTTTTATTTCTACTAATTTTTTTAAAACTGAAGACTTCCATGCTACTATTCTGCTACTGCACATATTTTAACTTTGAAGTTCCCCTTATATAACAAAGTTTTAGAGACGGTAGCTAGCTATATAGTAACCAGTTTCAGCAAGGTCTCTGTACAGTGTATATATTTTTCAGCGTCTTACTGACTGGCAATATGCCACCTTATATCTGTCCCTCTGGAAGAAGTTGGTAACTTTTTCAGAAGTTACCAGAGAAGAGCAACAAGTGTAGAATTCTTAAAATACCACTGTAGAGCACATTTTTCCCAGCATATGACAACAAAATCTGGCCAGCTAATTGAGTGAACTGTAATTTTATTCTAAAGAAAAAATGTTATGAGTCTTAATTTTGAAATAAATAATTTCAATTGTATATAGATATCAGGGTTTGAAGGATGAGGAATTTATATAAACAGCCTTTCTAGCATGGGAAAGAATAGTAGTTAATTGATATCTTAGGGCAAATTGTTGTGAAAGCTTAAGCTGTACTGGAATGACATACAGAAGTTTTGGCTTCTGAATTATAATAAGAAGCAAGATAAGAAATAAGAAGATAAGAATCAGAAAATTTGAAAAACTAAGCTGACGCCCACTGCAGCGGTTTCCTGTATTTCATTAATTGTTAGTATGTCTTTGTTTTTCCAGTGGTTGTAATACTTTATGGTACTGTAAACTGTGTGGAAACTTGTAATTAACTAATAAACTAATACTTACTAATACTCTAATACTGATTATAAATTTATTCTATTCCAAGCCAACCTTTTTGCACAGAAAATTAACTTGTCAGGAAGAATGGGAACTGCTAGTTATCTAGCTTTGGGGTATCCAAGATGGAGAAGTCATGTGGTACTGGCTAAATTTCCTACGAAGAGGATATAGAGAAAGCCATCCAGTCCTACAAACTCATCTTCAGCAATACAGAAGGTCTTTGCTTCCTGCAGTGAGACTTGGTTAAAAGTTAGAGTTGATGAAACAAAGTGAAGAGCGACTGAAGGGATGCATTTTGCCTACGTGGTCAAATGTGAGGAAAGGGTTTTGCACACATGATCTTTACAAATTTTTCTTAAAGCCAACTTGCCATATTGGATGACTGAGCTTCACAAAAACAAGAATAAGGATGAGTGCTTGGAAAATGAAATTAAATAAGCAGTGTCGCTGCCAGATGGTTGTTGTTACCTATTTCGCTTGTACTAAAGCTTGTTAAAGTGAGTAGGAAAAAATCTTTCAGCATTCTTTGTTGCTCCTCCCAAGACCTTTCAAAAAGCAAATTAGAAAATCTTTTCTGCGTATATGTATTTACTCACTTTAAGTCTTGACATTCTGTTTAGGTGGAACAAATTCTTGCAGAATTTAAGATTAAAGCCCTTGAATGTCACCCTGACAAACATCCTGGAAACCCCAAAGCAGGTATGTATTTTTCCCTGCTTAAAACCAATCTATTTTTTTTCTTATAGTAAAATGGCTAAGATACTAAATTCAGCCTTAAAACTTTACTAAATATTCTTTTTCCCAAGTATATTTTAATTGCCATGTATATTGAAGCATATTGTCTTTAAATAGCAAGCTTTAATATTCTTAATATTCTTTTCTAACACTTGCACACTCCTAGGTGATAGAGCAGGAAGTCACTTTTTGGATTTTTTTTTTTTCCTAGGACTTTCAATTGTTTTTCTTTCTATGGTAGAACATCTTTTAATCTAGAAATTATTTATGGAGTGTAACCCTTTCTAGACCGATGAAGTTGGCCTGCTTCCATGCTCAGTGGCATTCAAGTGCCATACTTGCATCAATAGTTAATTTGCTTCCATGAACAAGTCCATCAGGAACACATTAAATGTACTTTAGTTTATTTTAATGTAATTTAATGACTGGAAATAAAGAGAAGCCAGCACCACAAGAATAGCCATCTGTTTGCAGAACAGCAGGTAACATTTGTGTTTATGAAAGCGTGCAGTTCATCATACCTGTGACGGCTAAGCAGCACCTGAGTTATCTGGAGACAATCTTACCCATTCATAATCACAAGATAGCTCTAATCAGTGCTCACCGATGTCTGAATAGTTTATATTCTTATAATAAAGGTTGTTCTGATCATAATTATGGACCCCACCAGAAATTTATTGTTGAATAATTAAATATGCTTTCTCTATCGATGTGCCTTCCTAGCCTAGAATCACAGAGTTGACAAGGGGAGAGTTAAAAGGTGAAATGGGTGGGATTTTTCACTTTGACATTCCCTGACAAGGAATGCCCTGAGATTTGGGGTTTGAGAGACACTCTACCACTTATTAACAATAATCTGATCACTAATACTTAATTTATTCTAAATGATAGCACAAGTACCAATGAAACCAATGGAGTCAATTTTGTCAGCAGAAAATCCTGGCTATTGCAGTGGGGAAACAAGAGACTATTCCAGGGCATGGTCCTGTTCTGTCTGTACCACGCCCTGGCTCCTGTCCGTGTGTCAGTCCCGTCCCCGTCCCCTCAGTTAATTGAAGCTAAGTAACTCAAAAAGGGAGGCCAAGTGCCAAATGTTGGAGCAGCTTTGCTTGTCAAGAAGAAATATTTTATGCTCCATTTACCTGAAGATGCTGTATTCTGTATTTACTTTAAATACCTTTTTACAGTACCAGTGAAGGGTTACTTTACATTTTTATTTCATTAGCTTAAAGCTCCAATAAAGAGTAATTAAAGTAGACATTTTATTTGTTGAAAACCAGTAACATTAGAAAAAGGAAACCTAATAGAACTGCCCCCTCAACCTCTTGTCTGTTGTTTGATTTATAGTTATCAACTTTGATGACTGTTTGGCCTTACTGTATTTCAAAAGAAATATCTCTAATTTGTAAACTGGAATAAATGAATAATAATAATACTAGATCACTGCAACATAGGTGACTCATAGATAAAATCTAAATCTTTATAACCCTTCCACAAACAGTAACATGCAGCTGCATCCTTAGTAACCATTTAATGATAAATTACCCTGCAGGGGAAAAAAAAGAGCTCTCATTCATGCAGTCTGGTATTCAAGGTAACATTTTAGCCTATGTAGAAAACACACCTAATAAAATGCACAAGTTACGTGCTGGATACGTGATACGTGTGTTCCTTCCGAGCATTATTACTCCAGTTTCGTTTCCCTTTTTAGGGTTGTCTGCAGGGGGCGACTTGTGCCTTTTTCTTGCTGTACTCTAAGTTTCTCTGAACTTAAATTTAGGCGATTTTGAAGACGGTAGACAAATGAGCATTTTAGTCCTCATGTGAAAAAGGTATTAGTTGTCCACCAAAGGTGCTATGATCCTAAAGCCAGCCAAAACTGTGCAAAGCTATAAGCAGAACAACAACGTACCTTTGTCACTTAGTTCTCCTGTCTCCTCTAGTCTTTTTGCTCTAAGCCGTTGTTGGCAGCTCCCCTTTCACAACTGAATTAATGTCTCTATCCTGTCTCCTCTAGTCTTTTTGCTCTAAGCCATTGTTGGCAGCTCCCCTTTCACATCTGAATTAATGTCTCTGAAAACAAATATTGGCTTTAGTATCTTTTTGGTTTGTGTTCTAGTGGAGAACTTCCAGAAGCTGCAGCAAGCTAAGGAGATTCTTACTAATGAGGAGAGTCGAGCGCGTTATGATTACTGGCGACGAAGCAAAATTACCGTTCCGTTCCAGCAATGGGAGGCCCTGAGCAATTCTGTGAAAGTGGTTGGTGTTGTCTAAGTTTGGTCCTTCAGGAGGAGGGGGAGGTAGAGCTGGTCCAGAGAAAATGGTTGCAGTGAGTGAGGGGATGAGTTACAACCTTTCTGCTGCAGTGGTGGGTTTTGGGGATGGGAATAGTGCAGAGTGATTCCTGCACTAAGGATGTTAAGGAAATTCGGGAAAAATTGGAGGGCTATAGAAGCCCATTCACAGAACAGTTTTAGGCTAGCAGTTTTAGAGTGAATTTATCAAGTTGCTGCTTTTATGTATATTATATGAAGTTTAAGTAATTTAAGGGCTGTTTTTAAATGCTTCAGCACACTTTGCTATTTGTAAGAACCTTTTATTTATTTATTTTCAAAGTTAGGACCTTGTATAATATATTCTTCTTGTGGTATATTGCTTATCAGATTAAATGTTTGCTAGAAATATCCCATCAAGCTTAGTTCAGTTCCAAACAGAAGTCGTTCCACAGACTTTTAACAATAAATCTTTCCGAATCGTCTTGCTTTCAAGGGGTACCTTGAAGTCAAAGCCAGCTTTGAAAATGGACATTTCCTAAGTCACTCAATCTCTCTTTAAAAGGCGTCTGAAGTCATGACAGAAGAAACTGGACAAAGAACCCCTAGAGATTATTTGATGCACTTGTACATTTTGTTCTTCATCCTCACCTGACATAAACTATCCTCTCAAATGCTATTTGCAATATGTAACCATGCTTTCCCCTATCCTGTTGACCTGCAAGCTTCTCCCCAATACTTCTGTTTAACCATTTATTACAACAATATAAGAAAGAAAAGGGAAGTTAATGAAAAAGCTTTTAAAGCATAGGAATTAGTTCTTTATTTGTTATTTTTGCATTTCTTTAGTCAATGCACTGGGCTGTCCAAAGTAAGAAGGACCAAATGCTGGAAGGTCCAGACTTGAATAATAGCAACAACATAACCAATGAGATTTGGACCCAACAGACTGAGAATAATGAAGACGGATTGTCAGATGGGAACAGGGAGCAAGAAGATGTTGCAATTCCTGACGTGAAACCACAGTCTTCAAAGAATCCAGACTCCCCGAGTAAGTGAAACCAGCAGTTACAGAAAATTGCAGTATCCAGGGATTGGCCCAAAATTGAGGCTTTTAGCCATGAGAAATTCTTCTCCAGAATAATATGTTTAACTGGTAGCTTTTTTTAATGTGGTTTTGTGTTGGAGGTTTGTTTTGGGTTTTATGTTGTTTATTATTTATTCACTTTTGAAGCTTTCAGACTGTTCTTCCTCCCTACCTCATGTTTGCTTGCTTGTTTGCTGGTAAAACCAAGAACTGGAGAAGAAGGAAAACAACATAATTCTTCTTAAATCAAAATGGAAAGTTCAGTTTTACTGCTATATCAAAATGAAAAAAAAAAAGCAATTATTTTTAGTGATTTAAAAAAAACCCAAAACTTTAAAAACTGTTAAATAAAAAAGCTGGCCAGCTAGTATTTTCTGTCTGTTGTTTAGGTTACTATGCCTGAATCAAAGTTCAGTTACCACAACGGCCACCCTCTGTTCCTTCAGAAGTTTCAAAATCTTGGGCTTATGTTATCAGAGAACTATTATTAAACAAAGTCCTGTCACTTCTTCGCAGCTTGATCAAACAGGAAATTAAGTTGAACTGTGAGGGTAGCAAAACCTAATTTAATCTCATACATTTGTGGAATGCAGAAAATAGATAAGAAAATTCTACAAACAAATGTTTGTGAGGCATAACTGAAAATTTTGTATTAAAAATTATCCTTTGTAACATTATACTATTTTTGGTAATTAAATCATCACTGTATCCTTTGTAGAACAGTAAAATTTCAAAGTAAAGAAAACATCATCTTGTGTCTCATAATGGTGAGCTTTGTTTGCCAGCATTTTCTTTCTCATAATTTTTTTAAGTTTTAATTTAATTTCCATAGATTTGAATGGGAAAAATATCAAACCCATCAAATGCCTACGTAATTTATCCAGTGGGCATATGTTTATATTAATAAATGTTGATATTAGAGCATTTATTTGACACGATCTGTATGCACTTCAGCATTCATACTTGATGTTAGGATGTTGATAAAGCTTTTGCTTTCATCCAGGAAAATTTATTATATTGGTTTCCACTTTTAAACCGGGATATTTTCAGTTCCTGTCTGCTGGTCTGTAAGAATTATGGACTTCAACTCCGCATAGCTATTTCAGCCTAAATAAGAGATTTTAACATGAAGTCTGGTAATAGGTTTCAGCTTCCTCATATAGGAAGATCACATTTTAGTATTAACAGCCCACAGATCATAAAAACATAGCACAGGGTGTGACCAACTCCTTTACTCCCTTGTATTTGGAAAGGGCCATCTATACCTTCCCTCCACACTGCTGCCTTTCATGTACTTGGAGATTTATCATGTTACCCTCTATCTCTTCTTCTTTAGATTAAGCAAGTGCAATTTTTTCAGTTTTTCTCTGCAAATACTCTTTTCTGGATTGCCATCGTTCTTACTGTTCTCCTTTGGACTCTTCCCAGCTGACCTGTATCTTCAAGTTCAGTGTTTGCTTGAGTTCTTGTTCAAACAGTGCCAAGAATATAGAAGTTGTCCCTGCTAGTCAAAAGCACTGGAAGTGGCCAATTTTTTACTTACTTTTTTTGGGGGGAAAGATTATCAAGTATTATTTCAGACAAGTTAGTTTTTTACATGTTTATAATAACTGACTTGCCTTTCTGTTTTTTCTCAGGATTTTCGGAGGCAAATTACTGGCACTTGCGTTTCCGCTGGTCAGGGGATGCTCCATCAGAGCTTCTGAGGAAATTCAGAAACTATGAGATCTAAAATGCAAAATATACATGAGCATGAGATCATCTGTTCAACTATTCAGTATTTTTTTTTGTCAGCAGTTATAAGTTATTTGTATTTTGTATTCATTCATTGTGATGTGAATGTTGTTTGAATAAATGTCTTTAATACTGATTTGTTAACACGCATGCTGTGAGCACTACAGATGGAGGTCTTTTTGTTTAATAAGCAAATTTTAATAAGCAAAGCCCTTTTCACTATTAACATAAAATGATTTTATGAAGTTATCTAGTACCTTATATATTGTTTCTTGTATTCCTAAATATTGCGTAGTGAATAATATTTTTTTTCAATAATGTGATGTTATAAAGAATATACTTTCTGTAGAACCAGAAGTCAATGTTAGACTCCAGCCTATCATCCTATTCAGAGATGATCTTCCGAAAGCTGTATGACAAGGAACCGTGCTTACTTCTAAACTATGTACTCCGGTTCACTTCTCCATTGCCTTGTACTTATGGTAGTGATTTATAATGCACGCATGCACAATGCTATTACAAACTTAACTTGTTGGAGAATTGTGATCTTATGATATACATGAAATAAGAACCTTATTATCCAAGAAGGTCACTGTGGTAGATCAAGCACTCTTAAAATTCATCACTTGCTTTCTATCTTAACACGTACACTTTTTGCACCAGCTATTTATTTTGGAAGGCAGTTCCAGAACTTCACTTCTCCAGTTAGCAACTTTCTTCTTCTTAAGATTTATTGGTGGACAACTGATACTCCTTGTATGTGTGCCAGCATTGTCCTGTGGCTTAACAGTGATTTCCCTCCCTGCTCTGGCCTGGCAGATGGGGTCTTATCAGGGTTTTGTACGGTGAGGAATGAAGAATCAGGCCAGTCAGCCTTAATGTGTACAAAATCTCACATGAAAGGTTTTTTGTATTTTTGGCAACTCTTCAAATTCTATATTGTGTTTATTTATTTTATATTTGCTTTCTTCTTTGTAAACCTGGCTAATATGTCAGGTATTGACATTGTATTTTTTGTGCAGGCAAGTAATTCAATCAGCAATGAATAAAACTGCATGCATACCAAAAGGGGTTGTTTTCATTTTTTTGGTTGAAATCCTCTACCCACCACAGAGACTTCTTTGGAATTTCTTGTTGTTTGTCCCCTCAGTGGGTAAAAGCTTAAGGGAGTCCAGTTATGAATCTTGGGCATCTCCATGGAAAGTCTAACCTGAAAAGTGCAGTCTTCTGCCAATATGGGAACAATATTACGATGTCTGTCTCTCCCTGGAGCGGCACGTTTGGCTCTACCGTGCAGGAGTAAGATGTGCTGACCGACCCACGCTGCTTCTCCTGTTTATAGCCTATTTACTATAACTTGTAACACAAGTGCCTGCCAGTGGAACCCTGATAATATGTGTATCTCATTAACCTCCTTAGTATATTTATTCTGGTGCCAGTTTTATTTACAGGGGCTGATACCAGCGTTAATGCTGGTTGTGTTTGTAACAGTTTATGAAAGCTCAAAGTACTGTTGTCCTGCTGATACAGCTACATTCATCCTAGACTTGATGGCATCAGTAGCAATAGCTGTTTTTACAGCACATCATCCTGCTTATCCAAAATCTCTTTTTTATATTCTACATGTGTATTTTGCAGCTGAAAATATTACAGAGATGAGATTAATAATTCTCTGTAATACCTGCTAAATGTAATTACAAATTTTCTTCTAGTGCATATACTGCTTTGCTTTGTGTAAAGGTAATTTGCTCACGAAAGAGTTTCAATCCACTTTACAGGGAGGACTGTAATGTCAAACAGTAGTAACAGAAGAAACTCTAGTTCATGCGAAGGATACAAAGTAATAGGGTACGATTTTTCTCTCTTCAACAAAAAGATGGAAATGCAACCAGCTGGAGTGCTTTGAAGGTGATGGCAGCTCAGATTCTCCTCTCTCTGTTCAGCTTGCTCATAAAGGTAAAAGGAGGTAGTTGGATAGATGATTTAGTACCTAACAGCTGGTTTCCCTTGAGAAGTGAGTATACAATAGATCTTTGAACAGCAAACTCATTTTTCATGGCATTAAAACTGATGTCATTATTAACCAATTATTACCTGGTTTGTTTTGACAAAGCACCTTTAGACAGTTGTTCTGGATGAATAACTGCAGATTTCTGGAAGACTCTTAGCCCAGCAAAAGCTGATGGCAAAACTTGCATTTTGCAACATACTGGAGATCAGTACTTGTATTTGCCTTAGTGAGGGGAGCAGGTTATTAACTGGTGCTCTAGTACACTGATACAGACTTTTTTTTATTCATGCATATATTTAACTTGAAATGGTCTAATTTTCTGTATTTTTTAAATAGAGTTGAATTAACCAGTTCCTAGCAGAGCACACCCTGAGGTACTGGAAAGCACGAGGAAGCAGTGCAGCCTGTTTTGCTTTCTGGGACAGCACCGGTGGGACCTGACCTGTTGGCCAGTAAGAACTGCTAACTGGAATAAATGGGCAGCCCAGTTCTCCCTCATGGGAGTAGGAAAGGAATAAGCACCTGACAAATTACTCAGTGTTAGATCATTTAGGGCCCACACCCCCAAACATAAACTGCTTATATTTTTTAAAAAAATATATAGTATTTTTAGAAGTTTTTTTGCTAGTAGCATGAAAAGATCCAGCAACTGTCCCACGTGACATTATCCACAATACTGTGGTGCCTTGGCCTCTGCACTAGTAAGCACGTAACATACTTAAAATGCTTAAATATTATTTGGAGCAGGGGTCATAAGGTGGATCTCTCAACCTCGGCGAAGGTGTGATTAACAGGTAACAGTCAGGTATTCCTGGTTTTTCAGTGGCCAACAGAAAACTTAATTCTCTTTGCAAAGTGGAAACAGCTGCAAGAGCACAGTTGTGGGTGTGGGGCACAACAGCAACAAACCCAGCTACTATATATTAGAACTCAAGTCTGGGAGTCTTAAGTTGGGCAAGAGGGCAGCTACTTGCAAGGGGTGGTAAAGTCCCAGTTTCTTCTTTAGCACTACCTGTGAGTTGTTTAGGTAGGTAACAAAGGGTCCTCAACCTTCTGGGGTGGCTGAGGGGTCTGACTCAGTGCGTGCTTCCAATACACAGCAATTGAGCACTACCATGCTTGAGTGCTTTGTTAGCTATAGTTCTAACTGATTTAGCTTAGCTTGGTATGAAAATAAACTGACCTGTGAAGTGAGCCTAGATCCTCTGGAGTCTAGTCAAAACTACTGATTAAACTTGGACATTACTGGACTTGTGAGGGCTGATGAGATTTCAGATGGAAGTTATGAGATAGCAGATGGGGGTGCAGGTGGATGATGATGATAATGAAACACAGAGAACAGGGCATGTTGTTTAATACTGTGTTTCCATGTCTGTGAAGCTGTATCAACCAGTTTTGTAATATCAGAAATTAAGCAGCTATTTAGCCAGCTGTTTACAATGAAACTGCACAGCTCTCAGGAACTCTTGAATTATATAAAATTAATATATCTTTAATTACTGCTGTCATGCCTGTTCTTGTGCAAATGCTGAATATATAAGTCTGAGAATGTTCTAGCTCTTCACAAACTCTTTGTTTTGCCAGTATCTGCCAAGTTGTTTTGCCAACATTTCCCAAGTGGCAAAGTAAGAGTTAAAGTTTTGATGATGAATACTGATAGTGTATGGCTTAAAATCTCAGGCGGAGTAATGCGGAATGATATGTAAGGTTGTTTCCTGGATGATTGTTTTCCTGTTTGAAGGTGGCGGGAGAGAAAAAGGCATTTTCTGTGTTCTATAATAGAAGCAAGTATCCTGATGATTAAAACAGATACTGGGTAGCTTTAATTTCCTGAGCATGCACGTTGCTATCTTACACTTTCATATCCTGAAACGAGAGACAATAATGTTGGGAAGGTAAGCAATGAAGCTGTTGTAAAGCTGATGAAATTACACAGCAAAAGATAAAGCAACTCGGTAAGCTGTCAGGCTCTGTCACTGTTAGATGGGGTGATATTTATCAGTTAGTTAATGCTGGGTATTGTTATTGCAGCCCAGTGTACATGCTCATCCTGCTGCTACAAGAGCTGCCACGCCTGCCCCCTGATTGTAGGCACTGCCTATGTTTGTTCTTTCACCTTCACTATATGAGTCTCTCCTCCCTCCCGTGTTAATGAAGATGAGACTCTTCATGTGCCCTGTTCGTCCCAGCTTTGAAATGCTTGTGTCTGAGTCATTACAATGGTGCACAATACAGACTGGGAACTTTTACACGTTTTAGGTCTCCGATGGATATCATAACCTGTCACAATTGATGGATGCTGGAGAAAAATTTTCTTTCTTCTCTATTCCATCTTCACAGTGGCTTGCTCTTGTTCCCTTCTTTTGGTGGAGCAGTAAGGAAGAGGGGCTACTTCTAGAAAATGAAATTTGCTGCCAATATTTGGAAGGTTTCCAGTCATGATGTGCGATGCAGTTCTCAGTGCTTTGGACAAAATTATTTGCTTACCGCTTTGCCAAAACTGCTTCTCCAAAAATATCGGAGGACTCCTGGCACCAAAGGCAGACAGCTTTCTTAAAGAGATGCAGTTTGACTCTCAGGCATCAATCCTTACGGAAACTACATTCACTTTGTCAGGATTGTCAGAGCTGGTCCTTTAGTAGCAGTTAATTTCCATGCAGCCCCCCCCAAACTTATGCTGGGTAGAGGACTGTCAGCTCCCCCTTTTCACCAACTTTGTGTGAACGATATCGATGGGACGGGGGAAGCAGGAGAATGAGCAGAAAGGTCCAGAGTAGTAAGAGACTGCTCCAGCTGGTTGGGCCTGTGCACCTTTGGCTCGCTCTGCTACTTGCAATCCTCACTTTCAAAGGATCTGTGTCTTCCCCGGGATTCCTACGTCTGCCCTTGGCCTGCCACCGCCCAAGGACTAGGCTGCTTGCTTCAGTGGGGATAGCTGATGATAAAAAGGAGCCTGAACATCTTGAGCATCTCTTTGCTTAGCTGGCTGGAGGCACCTCGATCCCTGGAGGTATTGTGCAGTGGGCAGGTTTGGGGAGGAAAATCGCGCCGAGTGGCAGAGATAAGGAGCAGTACCATGTTGAGCCCATATGTAGCTTCTGGGGTCTGGACTC